AGATAGATAGATAGATAGATAGATAGATAGATAGATAGATAGATAGATAGATAGACAGACAGATAGATAGATAGATAGATAGAAGTTTCTAGCAATGTGACGACGTTGACTTTGCTTAGCTTTTTATTAGCAACATAGAGTGCGGTTTGTATCAACTAACAGAGTTTACAGTTCTTATAGAAATACAGAATAAACCTGGTCTTTACTGTTAACTTACTTGGGTTAACCACTCAATTGCACTGTGTGGTGGTTGAAAGTGAAAGCTTTGTTCTCTACATACAATTGCCCATTTTAGTCTGTTTTCTTTTAAAACAAGTGGGACTAAAAACCGAGTGATCCAAGGTAAACTAAAAAAGGTACGTGTACCTTGCGAAAAGATCAAAGTCAATAAGGTCTTTCAAAATGTTTTAACGGCCCTCCCTCACCAGGCCTCTCTCAACCCCCTTTGACATCGTGCCGGCTTGCTGCTCATTTATAGTGGGACTCTACCGAAACCAAACCTTGCCTTCCTTTTGACACTGCTAGCATACTGACAATTGTGCTCACAGTTTTGAATTTAAGTAACTTATTGTCCATTGACAGACACATTCGTGACAATAAAATGGTTTATATATATTCTATGTTCAAACTCTGTCATTTCGCGCTCTGGAGGTGGACAAATATTATGGTAATCCATAGTTCTCTTGTTTCCAAGAAAAATAGATTGTTTTCAACCAGGACAGGCATGGCATACCTTACATAAAAAGGTAAGAAGTGTCAATTATTCCGTTGGTAAAGCTTAACAATGAATGGATAATAAACATTAAAATTTATTGATTGGAATCGGTTTTTGAAAATTCATTGAAGGTAGATTGTGTAACAAGGGAAGCAATTCAGAATAAAAATAACCCCCCTCCCACAGTGTGGAGAGAGCTTCATTACAGTGACTCAGTGTACGCAATGCGTCTTCTTTTTTTATCCACAGACAGATCGATCTCCTCGTGAAAGGCATTGACTATGTTAAGGTTGACATGTCTTCTTTAGTGTTGGCCAATCCTAACTTTTGAACCCCACTGAGCTGACACATGTTATACACATGTATATTATTATAGGGGTGGCTATAAATAAACAGCAGATCGTTTATTATAAGGAAAGAATATCAGAAGATGAGGTGGCTGAGGGTGGGAAGGAGTGACGATGTATTCAAAGCTAAATTAGATGTATCTGGAAAAGTCAATGAGAGAAATCACTTTGTGCCAACAGTTAACATTTTTTAATACAAATAAATATAAACAAGAGCTATTGGGTAGATGCTATATTGGAATAGAATATCTAGACATCTTTTCATTGTCTCTGGTTTCACTTTTGTTTGAAGTGATTTTCTTTGTCTTTTCGTGGAAGCGGGGTTTGTTGCTTACATGTCTTGGCGTGTTGTCTGGCTCAACAGGGTTTGTTTTTTTAAATTCTTACCTTGCCCATTGGAATATGTGCAGTTTTGGAGAAAGATTGCAAAACCTGGATCAAGGTGCATGTTAATTAACTGGGGCTAGTTTGAAATTACAACAATAAAGATGAAAACATTGATTTAATGCATGTTTCAGACCTGTGAGGCTATTTATATGTGCGAGCCTGATTTGAAGTCCAATTGGATAATTTGAAAAATTATGCTCTTTAGAGACACTTCCTCAGTTTGGTTAAATCAATATATCAAGAAATGAATGGAGTTGTCAACCAGTTCTTTAGGCCTAAAACAAACGGATAAATTCCAGGGAATTATAAGTGCCATAGTTCACTCATGTAACTTGGAAAACTTCCTTCTACAACAATCTTTGTTCAGAAAGTGGTTTCAAAACCATCAATCATTCAAGGTCACACTAGTGTTCCTGGTACATGTATAAACCTTGAATGCTTAGCGACAGCCATAAATAAACGGGAGGGGGATAGGGGGAATACCTCTGTTGCAACAACTTGCATTTACATATTATATTTTTTTAAAGTATAACCATGAAGTGCATTCGTGTCACACAAGACACGCAATGCTGCTTAATGACGTGGGTGATATATTGCGACATCAGCATCGTAGGTTAGGACGACCTAAGAAGTGGGCAAAATCCAAGTTTTAATTTCGGATAACCGGTTACTTTCTTCAAAGTGATCTCCTGTAGTTGAGATATTGCCCAAAGATACCAAAATGTTTTACTGAGATTCTGTAAGAATAACCTTTGAGTATGCTTCCCTCTTTTAAACGAGCTGTTTTTCCTCCAGATTGTTAACTTACTAAGTAAACAATGAAGCGAACGGGATTGGGAAATTTGATTCCGTTGGTTCATTTTATGGACAGGCCAAATCAGACATAGAAACTTGCACTCTTTCCAGTTCCCTCAAATAATATTATTAACGTATTGCAGTAAACTTCGCACCAAGGTTTTGTGGGACATATAACATCACTTTGGCAGATCTTTCTTTGATTATTTGTATTCATACCTTTACCTCTGTATTACTCCCGTACTTTTGATTTTCTTCGTCTAATCTGGTTACTGACTAATGGGTACACCCAAGGTAAGTTCGATTCTTCTTTTTTTTAAAAAGCCTACTTGCCTAGCTCAAACATGGCCAACAGTCTATTTATATAGAGCCCCCATTCATAACAATTTGACCTTTCAACCTTCATCTTTATTGAGTCTTTATGAGGGGAGGGGGGGGGGAGTAAATCCTGACATGGTTGCTAACTGTTTTCGACTCAAGAACGAGCGGGAAAAAACGCTGTGGTGACAGTTGCCCGTTCTCTTTTGTAACAGCATAATATTGTTTTCCAGATGCTGTACATAGGTATTTATGAAAGATAGCCTACCCAGTATTGATATAAGTAGTAGTCGTACTTCTATTCACAACACAACTCTTTGTCAAAGGGGCACGCTTTCACTAGTGTCGCAAAATTTTTCGAAGGAGTATTACTAAAAAAACTGATATTAACCGCCAAACTAAAAATAGAATAACAGTCTAGACACTTAAATACTTCTTGGTTTAATTTACATATCTCTTTCGAATACTTGGGTCCACCATATACCATTATAATATACGAGCAAACGGTCCC